TCTAATGTAAAGTCCTACAACTTTGGTTTCTTTTGTAAAAGTATGTTTGTGATCATGTGTGAGTGTTACACTGTTACAAGAGAGCTAAGCACCTGAATTACTGAATCATACAGAGCACTGGCACAAGCCCAGAGTTAAACACAAGAGTTATTGAATCACACAGAGCACTGACACAAGACCAGAGTTAAACACAAGAGTTATTGAATCACACAGAGCACTGACACAAGACTAGAGTTAAACACAAGAGTTATTGAATCACACAGAGCACTGACACAAGACTAGAGTTAAACACAAGAGTTATTGAATCATACAGAGCACTGACACAAGACCAGAGTTAAACACAAGAGTTATTGAATTATACAGAGCACTGACACAAGACCAGAGCACTGACACAAGAGTTATTGAATCATACAGAGCACTGACACAAGACCAGAGTTAAACACAAGAGTTATTGAATCACACAGAGCACTGACACAAGACTAGAGTTAAACACAAGAGTTATTGAATCATACAGAGCACTGACACAAGACCAGAGCACTGACACAAGAATTATTGAATCATACAGAGCACTGACACAAGACCAGAGCACTGACACAAGAGTTATTGAATCACACAGAGCACTGACACAAGACTAGAGTTAAACACAAGAGTTATTGAATCATACAGAGCACTGACACAAGACCAGAGCACTGACACAAGAGTTATTGAATCATACAGAGCACTGACACAAGACGAGAGTTAAACACAAGAGTTATTGAATCATACAGAGCACTGACACAAGACCAGAGTTAAACACAAGAGTTATTGAATCATACAGAGCACTGACACAAGACCAGAGTTAAACACAAGAGTTACTGAATCATACAGAGCACTGACACAAGACTAGAGTTAAACACAAGAGTTATTGAATCACACAGAGCACTGACACAAGACTAGAGTTAAACACAAGAGTTATTGAATCATACAGAGCACTGACACAAGACCAGAGCACTGACACAAGAATTATTGAATCATACAGAGCACTGACACAAGACCAGAGCACTGACACAAGAGTTATTGAATCACACAGAGCACTGACACAAGACTAGAGTTAAACACAAGAGTTATTGAATCATACAGAGCACTGACACAAGACCAGAGCACTGACACAAGAGTTATTGAATCATACAGAGCACTGACACAAGACGAGAGTTAAACACAAGAGTTATTGATTCATACAGAGCACTGACACAAGACCAGAGTTAAACACAAGAGTTATTGAATCATACAGAGCACTGACACAAGACCAGAGTTAAACACAAGAGTTACTGAATCACACAGAGCACTGACACAAGACCAGAGTTAAACACAAGAGTTACTGAATCACACAGAGCACTGACACAAGACCAGAGTTAATTTAAACACATGAGTTATTGAATCATACAGAGCACTGACACAAGACCAGAGTTAAACACAAGAGTTACTGAATCATACAGAGCACTGTCTTGTTTCTGTCTTGATTCTGTCTTGTTTCTGTCTTCTTTTTCTTCTTTCTGTCTTCTTCATCTTCTTTCTGTCTTATTTGTCTTGTTGTCTAGTTTGTCTTGTTTCTGCCTTGTTTCTGTCTTTTTTAGGTCATCTGTATCTTCTTTCTGTCTTCTTTGTCGTTTTCTTGTTTCTGTCTTGTTTCTGTTCTTTTTCTGTCTTGTTTTTGTCTTGTTCGTCTGGTTTCTGTCTTGTATCTGTCTTCTTTGTCTTGTTTCTGGCTTTTTTCTGTCTTGTTTCTGTCTTCTTTGTCTTGTTTCTGGCTTTTTTCTGTCTTGTTTCTGTCTTCTTTTTCTTCTTTCTGTATTCTTCGTCTTCTTTCTGTCTTTGTCTCCTTTGTCTTGTTGTCTCGTTTCTCTTGTTTCTGTCTTGTTTCTGTCTTGATTCTGTCGTGTAGATTTTCTCAGTATGATGCAAATCTTTCAATTATATTTTGATTTCGCTGATTATACTGCCTCTTGTCGCGCCGCCTTATTCCAATTCCTTTTAGGAAAAAAAAATAAGAAAAACTCAACCACGTTCAACCTGCTGCAGGCTAGACGAAGTTGCCAACAGTCTCCGGCTATATTTGTGGTCTTCTTTATTTGGGCCACTTTCGTGGCTAAAGTTCTGATATTATTTGCGCCGTCTCTGGGCTTAATGCTTCTTTCTTTCAAGTCAGACCGCTCATTGTCTATTGTGTTGTCAACTGTGTTCTTTCTCCAACCATCGCTTGTGTGGACGGCTCTAACTCTTCTTCAACTGTGTCTAAGTGACATTGCTCTCTGTGGTGCAGCAACTGGGGGTAGTCCAGGCACATTTCCGAACCATTCAGTGTGTTGTTTCTTTATGTCGAGATTTATGATTGTTTGAATTTCACAGCTACAGCTTTCTACTGAATGAGATAGCAAATATATGACCAGCTGGCTACCTTAGTCGTCTTTTATGGTACGCATGGTGAGTTACAGTGCAACGCCTCTTTGAATAATCCTCTATACAAATATATGTCAAAAATTAAAATTTAAAAAATACCGTCAAAGAGACTTCCGAAGTCACTGTGAAGAACGCGTATTTGAAGGGTCGCCGGTGTTACGGAGTTCGTGCACTGTCAGGAAATTATTCTTTTTGTGGGATACTTGGGATGATACTTAGGGGAAAAAAAAACTATTAGGTATCTGTGTGCCATTTAATTTATTTATCCCTTTGGGGGTTTCCGGGGCCTATTGTGGGATAAACAAGAATCGACCCACTGACTGCCCAAAAAGCATGTCGTAAGAGTCGACTAACTGGGAGCTTTCTTTGAAGTCAGAGTACATCTGCCTGAAAATCAAAGATCAAACAGCCAGCAAGAGTTAGACCTCTGAAACGGATATGCACGCAACACTCAGTTTCTAGAACAGGACTAGAGTCCAGAAGTGGACGAACAAAAAGAACTTTAGGGCCAGAGTTCAAAGCCTTAAAAGGCGAAAAGAAGGAGAAGAATTCATATAAATAATACATTTCTTTCTTACGTCCTTCTTAGGACGTTATTTTTTGTTATTTGAAGCCCCACTCTGGCTTTTGCCAGGGGCCGCAATATAGGCAGGTCATCATTATGGCCAAATGTCTGAACGCGGTTTCTGGGACCTCTCCACGGTGATCCTCATCCGCATGGTGGCACTTTGTGTCATCGGGTGTTTGTCGCTTGTGTGATGTCCTGGTGGGGTAGAAAGTCAGTCAGTCAGTCAGAAGAATTCATTTAGTTGAGGCTTTTATAGTTTAATTTACGGAAAACATTTATCTTGGTTTTTAATTCTAGACCAGGTTGTTATTAGTAGTGTCAAAAGGAGGGAAACAAAGAGAAAGGGCATTCCAAATGGGATCTATGCCTCGTTTAAGTGTATGATAATAATTTAACGAATGAAAATAAATATTTAAAATTATGTATAAATAATAATTGAAAGAGAACTGACTATACATGGTTGAGGGCGGGGGGTGTTTGTGGGGGCAGGGGTCTTAGCGCTCTCAGAAGTTTAGGGGGTGGGTGAGGCGAAGGTGTGCCTAGACTTCAAGGGTCCGGTCTCCCTTTTAACATGATTATGTCACTCTAACGCCTTCTTTATCAGATTTATTATTGTCAATATTTCTGACCCACACATGCATTAATTAAAGTTGAACCCTTTTGGTAAATACTAAAGGAAATAATTACTGCAAGGTGTTGGAAAAAAAGTTAAGGCAAATCAATCGACGATGATTCCTCGAATCACACCACTGCAGCGCTATTCTACTCAGACCGTAACGATCTGTTTGCGCCTCCGCACTGTTCACTCGCTCCCAAAGGGCCCTCACAATATCTAGCTTGCCATAAATCAATTAACCACCAAGTGGTGCAGGGCCGGTCAGTCTATCTGCCTGCTCATTTCCCAACACACCCTCATGAAACACCTCCCTCCCCCAACACACCGTCATGACTTGGAGAAAATATCCAATAGATGTTAACTACCCGGGACCTCTGAAGTTGTGCTTGAGACTACACGAAGCATGCATGTCTTCACCTTTTTTAGCATGCTCTGTGGGTCAGTTACAATCACGGCAGGTGTGCACAGCTGGTTCTCAAGCCAGCGGAAGGCAGCAGAGACCGCCTCCACCTCCATTCTCATACTAGACTTTGTGATATCATATGCAAGGCTTTGCAGCACTAAGCGACGTCTATTCTCCTTTGCCATGAACCCCCATGCACGTCGTCTGCTCCCTCAACACAGAGTCATCTTTATAGATAATAACGTCACTTAGGCGGGAATTGTCATGAATCATTTGTTGAACTTCTGATTCTGCAGCACCAGCTGGCCAGTCGTTGCACACACGACCTAAAATGTTTAGAACCCTACACAAATCTGAAACTTGTTCGGACACCTTGACCTACTCCTCTCTTGGCTCAAATTTATCAAGCCTGCACACATGTCCAATTGTGTCTTCAGCCTGCGCCATCCAAAACCTTCCTCTTTTCAGTCTGTGACCATTAGCTCTACCCAGGGCTCTATGCAGGAGGTGCTTCTTGTCTGCAGCTACTCTGAGATATGGCTTTGTCTGCAGAACTTGGAGCATATCTGCAATACTAGGCAATGTAAGTATAGAGTTTACAGCTGGTGAACGCAAAGAAGAAAGAAGATATCGCATACATACTACCGGGGTATCTCTTGTACATCCCAGAATTATCCGCATGACTTTATTCTTTATACGTTCGTTTTATCAGCTGACTCTTTGATATGGTAAAAATTCCAAATCCATAATCTATCTCCGACAGGATCACATGCTGCAACAATGTGAACAGCATTAAGTATTTTAGGCAAGATGATGTTTGCTGGCATGGTGGTGAGGATGATGATGAATAAAACGTTCCCGCCATGAGTTCGAGTTTTTATTTTTCAAAATGGCCGCCCCGGCATGAGTTTGAAGTGAAGTTCAGAATGGATTTAATTTTCAAGCATAATTTATAGTTTCATCATTGATCGGCGAAGATGACGCCTCTTGTTTATGCTTGGTTTATGTCTGAGGTAAGCAGAAGACTAATAAGATTACAACTTTATGCGTTAGAGTTTTATCAGCTGACTCTTTGTTTTGGTAAGCATTCCCAACAACGACAGGATCACATGCTGTACTGTAGTTAGTGTAACATTGTGGTGAACAGCAGCATTATTAAGGATTTGAGGCAAGATTATGTTTGCTGGAATGGTGGTGAGGATGATGATGAATACAACATTCCTGCCATATGTTTGAGTTCATCTTTGATTGTTCAGTTGTTTCTTATTATGTTTATGCATGATGTCTTGAGAAAACAACAATGAGTGAGAGATGATCATGATGTAGTAGTAGTAGTGTCTAGTGATGTAGTCTTAGGTGACTTTGTAAGGGGACTCTGGGTATCGTTCTACGCAGGTTCTTGTTCAATAAACCATTGATAATCTACTTCTTCTTTTCGCGTTCACCAGCTATAAGCTGAACCCTGGCGGAAAGTTCTGGTTGTTCGTCCACTTCTGGAAGGACTGCAGTCCTGTTCCAGAACCTGAGTGTTGCGTATGCATCCAATTGATTTATTAATTTATAGATCTGACTCACTTGTATGCAGACTGCTGGTTCCTGGCCTCTGTCAGATGCACTCCCACTTTGAAGGTTGCTCCCAATAGTTGACTTTTACAACATGCTTTTGGGTAGGCAGTGGATCTATTCTTGTATTCCCTATAACAGGGACTGGGAACCACCAACAACAGGGATTAATAATAATATTATGCAGCCTAATTTTTTCTAAAAATCAGATTCGCTGAGATTCTTTTGCCTATTTTGTGTGATTGTGGTGTGTCCAGGTGTGCTTTAAGTTTAAGACCAAGGTGTCCCTGTATATATTATAGTCAGTAAGCTTATAAGAATAATATTAATAAACATGACAGCTGCATGCCTGCCGCACAGTGTGCTTCTGTTCTTTTTGCAGTAGTATCATTAAATTAGAGAGATGGATTTGATCCAGCTGTCATATTTTGTTCTTTTACGTTTAATTGTGACTGAACAGTCCACAATTTTTTGCATGTGATTTTGTTTTGTTTTTGTATTTAATAAAACCAAACATGTAAACAAATTCCAGTTTCTTTTAGAGATTAAGAACAGGTCTATGGGTTGTGTATGACACACACTGAGAAGACCTGACAACAGTATACCAAATATTTCCATCTATAAGACAAAATGTTAACCCAATTTTTTTTAATATTCTTTTTTTTTTAAGTTTAAAATTACAAGTTGTCTTAAAACTAAATGTTTAAAAAAATTATTTCTAAATTTTTGGCTTAAAAAAAATGGCTTCTCTTAAACATGGGAATATTTTATACATGGAAAAATATGCTCACTAGGAGGTCTTTACATGGGAACCCAGTGTCAAAGAAATAAAGGCAGATTTAAAAAAAAACAGATAAAGACTTAAATTAGAGAGTGAAGTTGAAAAAGTAAAAAAAGATATGTAGGTCGTTGGATGAGCTGCGTGCAGTAGCAAGGAATAGGACAACTGTGAGTTGACTGGGGGCTTATGCTCCATTGTGGCGTAAAGGGTCAAAGACATGGGTGCCAGGTTAGCGTGTAGTCGATAGGAGACCTGCTTTCACATCCAGCTGCGACTTGCTGCAGCCCACGACCGGTGTTCGAAACCGGACGGTTCCCGGGGTTTACCTAGCCTCTAGGAAATGGGAACCAGAGTTAACACTGGGGTAAATAGAGGAACATCGCTGTAGCTACAGAGTTTCATGCGAACGGCAACACAGACAGACAGTTTCTTATCAGCCGTCTGTACTGGTGGCAGAGCATTTATGGTTTATAACCGTGTGCAATGATACTGGTTCACATCTCCCGACTTTACCTTTTTTATATTTTTTTAAATTTTAGAATACCAGACATGACCTTGTGAATGGTTTGACTAATCTTGTTTGATTTGCCAGGTTTACTACTGGAGGAGCCTGGCCAGTACATTGTGGTCCATAATTTGCCTGCCTGTGTTCCTGTTTGCATTTTTGGTGTTCTCTAAGCTTTCACTCTTTCATCCCGTGGGGTGGATTTATGGTAGGTTGTATATTTTTCTTGAATGAGTAGATAATTAGATTGATTGATGAGTGGATGGATAAAACAAATTAAACACCTTTTCTTTGTCTGATTGGCAACTGCATGTCTTACATTCAGTCCCTCCAACCACTCATCTTTCGCACAACAATTGCATTTTATCTATTAAGAATTTTATATAATATGAATATTAAGAACTAATACAACATGCATGTATTTATCTGTTTGGAGAGCCACTGTTTACCTAAAAGATACTTTCATCATCATCATGTAGCAGATCCTTCGCAGAACGTCGCTCTCATCAAAGTCTGCCTGAAAGAAACTCGGTCTCTCGCCAGTTCTCCCACCTCATGTACTTTCATACTCAAGGAGTCACTTATATCCTGTGCCCATCTTCGTGTCGATCAGCCCATGTCCCTCCTTCCTGGTACCATGCCTTCTGCTATAATTTTTTCCAATCCTTCGTGGCGCTTGATATGACTGAAATATTTCAACTTCTGGGACAGGATGCAGTTTATTAGCCAGTCTTCCTTAAAAGATACTTTAGCAGTAAGAAATGTCATTTACTTTGAGAAAAAAACATTGTGAAAGGGCTGTGTGGAACCTGTGTTGTTACGTGCATGTGACATGGATAATAAGCAGATAAATTTCTTTTAGAAGAGCGCAAACACTGAAGTAAAATGATTTAAGAAATATCGGCTATCCTCCGAATAACGGTCCTAAATTATATAATATAAATATACCCTTACAGGGCCTCGGTCACATGTAAATTGCCGAGAGTATCTCCCGCGGCGCACTAGATGGCTGTGACTCACGAGCAGCAGCTACCGCATCTCCTGCAGCTTCCTTCATTTTATTTGCTCGTGAGTCCCAGCCATCTAGTTTAGCCCCACTCCGTGGCGCGCGTAGCGGCATGGGAGATACACAAACCGTGGGCGGTAGTCGCCGGAAGTCCGCAATTTACATGTAACTAAGGCCCCGTTAGGGTATATTTTCGGCCTCGATAATTAGGGACCGTTATTTGGAGGACAGCCAAAATATTATTTAAACAACGTCCAAGGCAGTCCTTATGACCTATGCCAGTCATGAACTGATTAGAGAAGTGAGATGTAGACAGTTGTGCTTTTTGAAATGTTATGAAAAGAAATGGATGTGAGTACTTGGAAAGAGAGCAAACATGGGCAAAAACATAAATACCTGGATGGGGTGAGTCAAGAACACTGACCTGGTCCTTGAATCTGAGGATCGTGTGATATGGGGAAACGCCACAGCCTATGCTTACCTGCACGGTGCGTGAGGCTATGAAAGCCCTGTTTACCTAAGAATGAACCAGGCTGCTTGTCAGTTATAGGAACTTATGAGATGTGTCTCCAACCAATGGTGTTAGTGCTCTAGCACTTTCTTATCTGCTGTTATGTAACATGCTGGTATCCAGGCTGTTGTTATACCATTTCTTTTAGCCATGAGGCAATCAAATTATCATATCCAACCTGTTTAGACATTAATAAAATAATGTAATTTCCATATATATATGTAAACACACACACACACACACATAAAGTCACATATTGTTTTCCAACAGATGTTGCGGATGGTTTCCTGGGTGCTCAGTTTTGGGTGGCCTGTTTAGTGTACGGAGTCTTTCTTGTTATAGTCACCTGGTTTTGCTTGCCTCACATTGCAGGTAAGATGAACTGCATCTATTTCTGCATTTTATACTAAAACCTATGGCTTACATGGAATGCATGAAGTTTCTTTCCCCACCCCCTCCCCCAGGAATGTTATTATGTAGGTAGGTAGGTATGTAAGTAGTTTATCTGCTTGCAATTTTAAGTATTGTTATGAAGGTATGTAAGTTGTTTATCCCCTTGCAGGTTGTAGGATTTACACCTCAGGGATGAAAATCCTACATGTACAAATCCCAGAAGCCCCACCTGACAGTTATATTGGAACTCCCGATTGTTACATTGTAACCTGGAGTCCGCACCGGCAAGGACTACTGTATTCACTATGTAGCATATCTTTTGGGGGACGTTGCTATCATCACATTCCATGATTAGAAGTCTCACTTGTTTGTCATTTCTCTGACCGCATGCATTTTTTTGCCCAGCCTGTCAACTATCAATATAACTAGAATGTCCTCACACTGGAGTATATGGAGCAAAAGAAATAGAGGGATAGAAACGTATAGAAAAGAGAAATAGAGACTGAAGGAAAGGACTGCGTAAATTTGCAAAGTTTAGGATAATTTGCATGAATTGGTTGCGATAGTGGTGCCAAGATCTGAGTTTTTCTTAGGCCCCCCTCCTTTTTCGATTGGCTTAGCAAGAAGGCAGTGGTGTAATCAGGTGCTGCTACACAAGAAGGAATATTAGAAAACAAGTATTTTTTTCTTGTCACTTGGACCACGTTTCTGAGATATCTCATTTCTGAGACATGAAGCTGGCTTCTGCGAGCATAGAGTGGGATATCGTCACTTTCATTCTCTTGCCAATTTCTGATCTATTTAGTGCCAGTTTGCATTTTGTTTTGTTTTTTAAATTTTACGCTTATTGAGTCAGTAGTGATTCGTTTCATAGATACTGAAATGTATGTATATATTGTTTAAATCTTTACAGTTGTTCCTGAGATAGAAGACACACATCTTTCAGCCTTTTGGGGGCTTTTTAGGTGGTCACGCCTGCCATTGTTGATTATATGTGCATTAGCTGGCACCCTGTCTGCATGGATTGTAAGCGGACTGATTGGAGATAGGTTCGAATCTTTGACTCATGAGGTGGACACAGATACACAGTGAGTTGATTTGTGATAGTAGGCAATAGAATTTGGTTACACAAATACTTCATGTGTTGTAGTACATTTTATATATGTTGTAGTACATTATTATTATGTAATTGTTACTAATTCAACAATGCCCTGGCTTCTACCCTTAGACCTCTCACCATATAGTGATACCTGCAAGCTTTCATCAGTTGTAAACTCCTTTGGAAAGGGCTGGTTGTTCATCCACTTCTGAAATTTGGTCTTGTTCCAGAACTTGAGCATGCACATGTTTTACAGATCTGGCTTATTTTTATGCAGACTGTTGGTTCTTCCCCTCTCAGGCAGATGCACTTCAGCTTCAAGCAAAACACCTCTGATTGTAATGGCACAGTGGATGTTTTTTTTTTTTCAATATGGGACCCCAGAACTCACATTGGGAGTGTACCAGCTATTTTGCTGTTCCATATAGTGTCCACGTTTGTCTGACCCTTGGTGGGGGTAACAATTTTCTAATAAATGCAGGAGCTGCACATGAAGTGAAATAGCAAGGCGGACAGAAGGTGTTAAATGAAGAAGGAATACATTTCAGAACAGCATCAATACACGCCAATCCATCACTGGTTGGCATGACAGAAAACAGTGATGAGAAAGCTGGCCCGACCAGCGATACAGATAAAACCAGGTGAACTGTGACCAGTTAAATAGGTATGTTTATCTGAACGTGACCACCGGAGACGGATGGCAGGGGGTGATTGAGAACCCACGCGGAGAGAGTAGGAAGTGTGGGGAGGGTACGATCAACAGAGAAGGACAGTTAGTAGGGAGCCGCGGAAGAGAGAAGGGCAGTGAGGAGCGAGCCGCTGAAGAGGGCAGTTGAGAAAACAGTCATGAGAAGATATGTTAAACTTGGAGTTTAGCTAGAACAGTGATTAAAGAACTTATCGTCTGATACATGAACAGCCAACAATAAAGTACTGTTACATAAGCGAAGTGTTTCCTACTGTTTGACTTACAATATTGTGGAAATAAACAAAGAGATCTGTAATAGTTTGTTTCATCACTGATCTTGTTGTTAAGTACGATTCAAGAGAGCTACGAACTATATCCATAACACACTGGCCGAATTAGGCACACCCATACTGGGGGGATATAAAGATACAACTGTGTCACACACAGGCAGGTAAGTCATGTTTGAAGTCAACATAAGAATATGTGAAAAGCACAGTCCAATACACACACAAAAGTCAAGAGACCAAGTAAGAAAATATATCCATTTTATAAGAAAGCGCCGCTGGAACTATATCAGCCATGCACTCAGAATAGATAAGACAAGACTTCCACATCAAGCCCTGACATGGACACCGGAAGGGAAAAGAAAATGGGGAAGACCAAGAGAGAGACTGCAAAGAACCATAATCAGGGAAGGCTCAACTATGGGCCTAATGAATATCTAAGACCTAAAGTAGGTGGCAACGAACCACCAGACATAGAGAGCTATGATCTCTGCCCTATGCGCCGCCTTAGGCTCAAGAAGAAAGACTAACTTACACAGTCCAAGCTTTTCTTCCCACCTGGTAGCAAAGTATCATTTCCCCAAGGACTGTTGTAGAGTTCTGGCCATTCCAAATCTAGTTACCAGCGGGTAACACCAGATCAGTTGTGGAATTCCACTTCTGCAGAGATGGATTTTAGGAAATAACCATATTGTGATTATTCTTTGCGTTCAGCTTCTGTAAACCCTGGCATAAAGTCCTAGCTGTTCATCTAATTCATGTCTTTAGTCTTGTTCCACGCATGTGTTTTTCAGATCTGGCTTATAATTGTGCAGACTGTTGGCTTCTTGCTTCTCAGGCAGTAGCAGTCCCGTCTTCAAAGTGCATCATCAGTCCTGTCTACAGTGGCCAGGCCCCTGGTTGGGAACCTGTTTCTAAGGTGTAGGCAGGTGTTGACCAGTGTGAGCCCTGGTCCTGCTGCACTACCACTTGTGGTTTGACAATTCTGCATTCCTACCCTGGTTCCATATGGCACATTCAGATGGGCCAAAATTAGACCTAGATGGGGAAAAAAAAAAGCAACAAGAAGGATGGCACAGAAATACTCAGCCACGGGGCTACGCAGGACAAGAGTTAGTTAGTTGCGGATCCTTTACAGGATGTTGCAGAACCAACCCTGCATTTTTTGTGGCAGTTGTGGTTTTTCTAGGCAAGTAAACGTCCAGTAGTTTGCCATTGCTTTCTGTCAAAACCAATGCAGGGCACAAGGCCCACAGCTGAGATCGAACCTGGCATTACGAAGCATGTTCGCAACACCTAGGCCACAGATGCCGACAAGATTACAGATCTGATACTGATGATCGTGTAAGATGATGAATCATGACCAGCCACATTTATTGGCCCGAAAGATGCTGAAGGATCACCCGCTAAGTTATTAGAGAACATGGCATACAGTTTGTCGCTAGTGCTAGACGCAAGCTGATTCTAGTGTCACACCGTTTTAAACGCTTGAACATTTTACATGCTTGAATTAATATGTGAGTACAGCACCCTTTTCCACGCCGTTAGGCATATTGGGTATATAGTCCTAGACCTATATTTTGAGACCAGTCAGTACTAGGTGGGTGAGGTGGCCTTTGCTTCCCAGAGCTTTAGCTAGTGCCCGCTTTAGGCTGGATTGACATGGGAGCAGAGGTCGTTTTCTTTTCTTAAAATCCAGCTTGATGATGTTTTAAACTCATGACCTTTGGGACTGCATCTAGCTACTTCGCCGTCGACTCTCTTGAATGTATATGTAAATTTATGATTTAAATGCTTAAATAAGTGTGTAAAAGTATATTTTACATACTTCAAGTTATATTTAAATGTATAATTGAACTGTTTCAGTGGACAATTGTACCTGAGTGAACAACATTTGTGTATAGTATTAGGAGGACTGTTTGCAGGTTTATCTTATTACCGTCAGTTCTTCCATCATGGCTTCTACTATCTCACTTTCCCTACCGTGCATGTAAGTATTGTTACTGCTAGGGTAATTTGTTGCTACTGCTAGAAGTAATTTGTTGCAACTGCTAGAAGTAATTTGTTGCTATTGCTAGAAGTAATTTGTTACTGCTGGAAGTAATTTGTTATTGCTAAAAGTTATTTGTTGCTATTGCTAGAAGTAATTTGTTGCTGTTGCTAAAAGCAATGTGTTGCTACTGCTAGAAGTAATGTTACTGGTAAAAATATGTTTGTTACTCCAAGGTGTACAAATAATGTGGTTGGGGGGGGGGGGGGTTTAAACTGTTTTGTCGCAAAAAATGGTTGTTAACGGTGAAAGTCAAGAAGGTTGATTCTATTGCACCTGATTTTATTTCATTTGGCGTGGCCTCTCTTTACGGAATAGTAGCAGCCTGCCAAGAAAGCCGCACTACACCGTAGCTCCAGCAACGATCCCTGTGGTCTGTCTAAAAACTACTCGTGAACATGTCTGTGAAATTAACCCACGAACCTCAGAGTGTCAGGCAGATGGCTTGACTGCGCCACGAAGGTCACCAAGTTTTAACAGTAAAACAGAAAGGTATATACTAGGATCTTGCGCAGATCATACACATGTCTACATATTATACAAAGATCTCAGAGGGATTAATCAAATTCACAAACCATGCATCTAATTTGTCCCACTTACGAATGAACGGAGAAAGATTTAACAACAGTGATTAAACTTTGTGTAAGGCCTAAGAAAATTAACAGCGGATACCTGAAAATATGTAATACACAGCAGACATTGTGATTTTGACAATTTCTGTCCAAAAAAATATTGTAACTATTAAGAAAATTATTATAAATTATGAGCCACAGTATGGGAACACCTATGTCAACATGCTGTTCCTGAAGTGGGTTCCAAGGTCCCATGGGGGGGGGGGGGGCAAGAATAGACCTACTGACCCCCCAACAAGCGTGTTGTAACTGCAATGACTCATTGGCTCCTATCATATGCAGTCTACTCAGACACACGATCCGTTAGCTCAACATCATTTTGAACAAGGAACGTTGGAAACTCCACACAGCTGATATGTTAGAGAATGTTTATTGAGTCAACTATCTGTTTTCTCCGTCATTGTGACGGAGGTTGAAAAACTAGCAATGGCCACATCGGCTACACACAACAGCATCAGTAACTTCAGTCGACTTTGACCTTTTTAAGATGATAAAACCACAACATTTCCAACGTAGACACTTCAGGATTTCCAACAGTCCACACTGACAACAAACAAATGATACTCAGCCATGACAATGTGTCAGGCTAAACAAGATAGCCAGGTTTTCTAGGAACTCGGAGGCAAAACTTGAGCAGATGTTGTCTTGCTTGCAGATTCACTAGACTTTCACTCTTTCATCGCCATCATAATCGCTGTCCCAAGATCAAAAACATGACTCAACTAACCCAGTTTCTCGTGGTTTAAATAGCCTCTTCCTTTCATTCTAGAATGTTCTGACACATTCCCTGCACTGTCCATTTCTATTGACTTTTGGCCACCTACCCAAAATTGACGCTTGCTTCATACAAGTTCAGGTTTACCTGAACTTGACACTCAGCCTGTTCACTCAAACATTGTTTTTAACACCACCCATCCAGTAAGGCTATGAAAGTGAGATAGGAAGGGGGAGGGGAGATGACTCATTACAGTGGCTAATGAGGGCGTTTCCTTCAAAAGTCTGAGGTAATCTGCCTGAGATGCAAGGAACTAACAGTCTGCATATAACCAAGCCAGATCAGTAAAATGGGTGTGCATGTAAAACTCAAATTCTGGAGCAAAACGAAAGTCCAGAAGTGGACAGACAACCAGATCTGTCTGCTGGAGTTTACAGCTGGTGAACGCTAAGAAAAAAACATGCTGCAAAATATCTACTACGTGATGATGATGGTGTCAACCGAGGTGTTTTTGGCTCCTTAGAGATACAAGTTTTTTCAAGTCCGAAGTGAGGTGTCTTCCTTGCTGTGTAACTGTATGTATCAGGCCCTGCAGACTGTCAAATATTTCTACATCCTGTACTTTTTGTTTGGTAAGTTCCGGTGCATCTCATCAATCAGTTATCATTGTTTATTTTTTTTTAAATTTATTTAATTATCATCATTATGGGGTGTTTTTGTAACCATGAGTGATCAAAGTTTGCCACCTCACGTGACCACTAAAATTTCGGGTCACATCCATGTTAATGTATTGTTGAACATCTTCCCCATCAGTTTTAACCCTTTCACTGCAGAAACCCTTCAAGGAAAAGACCCCATAACCTGAAAATTCAACAAACAAAAGAGTCTCTTTAAAAAAAAACTGCCATTTTACAGAGAGCACTAATACATTTTGAAAATATTTTTTTTTAAATTCATGTATGGAAAGGAATAATCAGTAAACACGAAGGGAACAGAGAATGAATCAACTAAATTCTCTTGGCCTTGAGAAAAGTAAGACTTATATTGTCTGACACCATGACTTTGTCAGTATGCGACTACTAAAGCTAAAGAAGAATTATGGCATGGTTAGAAAAGACAATTTGTTTGTTTGTTAGCGCAACACACACCCCCCCATCCCCCCAACTTAGCGTGCCGGACTACTTCTTTCAGCGACAAACTGCATTTCTGGTGGCGACTGTTGGCTTTGGCATCTCTAGCAACTGCCATACGCATTTACTGCGTGCGCATTTTTCTGGATTGTTCCGGGACTAATTGTTTGTTGACCAGATTTCACTGGCACAGGAGCGGAGCAAGTATGATGAAACCTGATTGCGGTGAAGTTGAAACCTGAGGCAAAGATTTGAAGCAGCATCTTGGGACCAGAGGGTTATTATCCTCCATTTTCATAAAATTTTACTATTTTTGTGCTTTAAAGCACGAGTGAAGATAATTGTCTCTGTTAGCAGAATGTGTTTGTAGCATAATATGTTGCTCTTTATCTACAAATCCGTCCGGCTCTCTAGCGTAGTTGGCTAAAACCGGATTGGGCGGTGAGCGGGTGGCGAACTCCTTGTGGTCCGGGTTCATTCCCGGGTGTAGGCAGAAAAGCCACATTACTCCCAGATTTACGGTATTTACAATGGAATCGAGGCCGAAAGGTTGCGATATCCATAATACCGAGCCTAAGGGTTAACAACTCATGGCTTCTGGATACTAAAACAAACAAACAAAACATCTACAAATCCCTACTGCTTATTATCAATTTCCTTCATTTTCTGGTCATAATTCTGGGTAAAGCCATGACTAATATCAAACATCTTCTTATGTGACAGGGAGCTTGCCAAAGAGATGGATTCATGCTTCCTTTAATATTAGCGTTGAGTAAGTATGTCTTATGTTGATTTAACGTATAGCAGTTTATTCTTTTTGTTATTCTGTTTGTTTGCTGGTTTAACATGAGGCATTTTCTTCTTTTTCACTTCCATCTTATTCTTCTGAATATATTTTTTTAAACGTGTAAGTTTTTTTTCTTCACTTCCTTCTTATTCTTTTTCTCGTGGGCATTTTTTTCAAACATGTAGCAATGTCTTCTTTTTCTTTATCATCATTGTCTGTGAGGATTGTTTTAACAATGTAACAATTGTTTCTTTTTCTTTATCATAATCTTCTGTGGGGATTGTTTTAACAATGTAACAATTGTTTCTTTTTCTTTATCATAATCTTCTGTGGGGATTGTTTTAACAATGTAACATTTGTTTCTTTTTCTTTATCATAATCTTCTGTGGGGATTGTTTTAACAATGTAACATTTGTTTCTTTTTCTTTATCATCATCTTCTGTGGGGATTGTTTAAGCAATATAACATTGTTTCTTTTTCTTTATCATCATCTTCTGTGGGGATTGTTTAAGCAATATAACATTGTTTCTTTTTCTTTATCATCATCTTCTGTGGGGATTGTTTTAGCAATGTAACAATTGTTTCTTTGTCTAATTTTCATTGTTGTCCTTCCTCTTCATGGTTTTTGTTTAGACAACAATGTCATCTTCTTCATCCTCCTCATCTGAATGTCATGTCTCTAAAGTAAAGGGCTCTTTTTTTCATGTTTTGGGTATATGGTGCTAGCATTACTTTCATAGACCAGTCTAGTCTCAGTCAGTGATATGAGCATTTCATAGGCTACCTCTGCTTCCTAGAAAATTTCCTAGTAGTTTCACCAGCCACACTTGAGTCACCATAGGCTGTATTTCCCATGCCTGCCCATAGCACAGTTTAACTCTATCGCTGGGAACGATGGAAAGGTGCCAATAATTATAGGTTGAGTTGGCATGGCAGACCTGGTCAGTTTTATTAAACAAACTGTCTGGCTTGGGCTGGATTTGAATGCATTATTCCTAGGCTAGTAGGCAAACCTGCGAGTCACTGTCAAATCTTGGCTAGAGAGTTCATGGTTGAAGAGATAGCTGTGAATCTGCAACATGACTAGGATGCAAGAAGAGCAAGTCAGACAGGGCTGGGGCCAGTGAAGAACACACTACAAGAAGCTAAATAAGAAGAATAAACTAACACAGAACCGGTCTTGTCAGCCGCTACACACTCAGTGGTTTCTCAAGGAGGGTATCTGTGCAAGGATGAACTGTCCACTAACTAGATCTTAAAATGCATTTGAAGTGTGTGGTTTTAGAAAAAGTGTTTGGAATTTTATGGACAAATAAAAAACTTAATTTGGAAATCTAACTGAAATCATTCAGTTTAGAACAGGATTTCTTGATTTCTGAATGATATGATAACTTATTGTTAAGGTACAGTTTCATCTAGCAAGACTTGCCAACAGCCACCCCCAGGTGTGGTACTTATTGTTGGGGGTACAGTTTCATCTAGCAAGACTTGCCAACAGCCACCACCAGGTGTGGTACTTATTGTTGGGGGTACAGTTTCATCTAGCCAGACTTGCCAACTGCCACCCCAAGGTTTAGTACTTATTGTTAAGGTACAGTTTCATCTAGCCAGACTTGCCAACAGCCACCCCCAGGTGTGGTACTTATTGTTGGGGGTACAGTTTCATCTGGCCAGACTTGCCAACAGCCACCCCCAGGTGTGGTACTTATTGTTGGGGGTACAGTTTCATCTGGCCAGACTTGCCAACAGCCAACCCCCAGGTTTGAGAGTCTGCTGTACATTATCATACCAGTCCCTATGAGAAGTCACTTAGCTTCACATCGACACTTGTCACACAATCTCCATCCATGCTTAGCAGCTCGGTCTTCTATGTTCCCCGTGTGGGTTTCCGGGGCCCTGTTATAGGGAAAACAAGAATAGACTCACTGCCTACCCAAAAGCATGTCGTAAGAGTCGACTTATTGGGAGCTTCCTTCAGAGTCGGAGTGCATCTGCCTGAGAGGCAAGGAACCAGCAATCTGCATACAAATGAGTCAGATCTGTAAAGTGTATATACGCGCAGCACTCAGGTTCTGGAAGAGGACTGCAGTCCAGAAGTGGATGAAATACCAGAACTTTCTGCCAGAATTTACAGCTGGTGAACGCCAAGAAGAAGAAAGAAGAAATCTCCTATTCTATGTTCACGTATTGTCGCAGGACTAACATAATGGCAGTTTACAGTACTGTGCATGTAACTTATGCGCTGACGATAAATATAGGAAGTGATGTTTATATGCTTTTGTATTTATATAGAAAGTAAGGGACCCTTCTCTCGCCTTTGGGGCATCAAGCATATGGTGCTAGGAAAAAACATATAGGTCAGTCAGCGCTTGTGATCGGACCACCCTAATTTCCGTGACATTACCTGTTACCATTTTAGGCTGACTGTATTTGAATAAACTGTTGTTTTTGCAGCCAGAATTCGGTGCCTCTTGATTCTCTGATGGGGCTGTTCAATATGTCCCTGCTGTGGCAGACCTACCTCAGTACTCTGTTGCTGCTGTTTTCCTGGTCTTTCACCAGGGCTTTGGTGAAGATATTTCACTCCCAGGTATGTGGCTGTTTTTTGTTCATACACTGTTGTATCTTTGGCACTGTACCCAAGTCACCTCAGTGCTGTTCTTTGTTCATACACTGTTGTATTGTTGGCACTGTACCAAAGTCACCTCAGTGCTGTTTTTTGTTCATACACTGTTGTATCTTTGGCACTGTACCCAAGTCACCTCAGTGCTGTTCTTTGTTCATACACTGTTGTATCATTGACACTGTACCAAAGTCACCTCAGTGCTGTTCTTTGTTCATACACTGTTGTATTGTTGGCACTGTACCCAAGTCACCTCAGTGCTGTTCTTTGTTCATACACTGTTGTATCTTTGGCACTGTACCAAAGTCACCTCAGTGCTGTTCTTTGTTCATACACTGTTGTATCTTTGGCACTGTACCCAAGTCACCTCAGTGCTGTTCTTTGTTCATACACTGTTGTATCTTTGGCACTGTACCCAAGTCACCTCAGTGCTGTTCTTTGTTCATACACTGTTGTATCATTGACACTGTACCAAAGTCACCTTAGTGCTGTTCTTTGTTCATACACTGTTGTATTGTTGGCACTGTACCCAAGTCACCTCAGTGCTGTTCTTTGTTCATACACTGTTGTATCTTTGGCACTGTACCAAAGTCACCTCAGTGCTGTTCTTTGTTCATACACTGTTGTATCTTTGGCACTGTACCCAAGTCACCTCAGTGCTGTTCTTTGTTCATACACTGTTGTATCATTGACACTGTACCAAAGTCACCTTAGTGCTGTTCTTTGTTCATACACTGTTGTATTGTTGGCACTGTACCCAAGTCACCTCAGTGCTGTTCTTTGTTCATACACTGTTGTATTGTTGGCACTGTACCCAAGTCACCTCACTGCTGTATCTTTGTTTCCAGAAAAATCACATTTGAACATTGAGCAGCAAATTAAATTGTTTTACTAACACAAAATGTCATGCTCTTCTCTATCTTCTTCACATTTCCCCGCTGTAAACTCTCGGCGGAAAGTTCTTTTTGTTCATTCACTTCTGGATTTAAGTCTTGTTCCAGAACCTGAGTTTTGCGTGCATATCCGTTTTACAGATCTGGCTTTGTTGTTTGCAGACTGTTGGTTCCTTGCCTCTGAGGCAGATGCATTCTGACTTGACAGGAAACTTCCCTAATTATTAGACTCTTACTGCATGGCTGTTAGGGGCCAGTGGGACTATCCCCCACATAATGGGGCCCCAGAACCCACACAGAGACACAATAACACTTGTCAAATATAGTTATTATCTGTCGTCACACAGTGCCAGCTGCCATATGCATTTAATGTGTGTTTGTTGTGGATTTTGCCGATACTGCAGTGTTTCAGTTTTTCATAAGGGACAGCAGTCCGCATTCTTTGTGGTTTTTGCTGACACACGAACAGAGAAATTATAGGGTGACTTGTTTGCTGTAAAGTTAGAACTGCAATTAACTGATTAACTCAGTCAGTCACGTTGTTCATCTCTCCCGACACTTTGATGAGGTACAAGCTGGAAGAGAAGTCACGTTGTAATATTATTCACATTGTGATATTGTCACATTGTTCAAATTCTACTGTTCCTCATGTTTTACTGAGAATTTACTACTGATTTGCACAGACTAGTTATTAGAATTGGAGTGCTGTGAAGTCAATTTCTAACTCAACTAAATTAATAACATGAATCTATTGTTGGTGAGGCACTCCATAGACCAATAAAATATGTTAACCGTTCTGTTTCCTTCTTCCCGTGAGTTTACATTGTCTTCATGTTTTTGTGGTTCTAAATTTATAACATATTGTTGACATGCTTTACACAGGGAGTGTATTGTTATATGTATATTTGCAGCACTATGAGTTTACATTGTCTTCATGTTTTTTGTAGTTCTAAATTTATAACATATTGTTGACATGCTTTGCACAGACAGTGTATTGTTATATGTATATTTGCAGCACTATGAGTTTACATTGTCTTCATGTTTTTTGTAGTTCTAAATTTATAACATATTGTTGACATGCTTTGCACAGACAGTGTATTGTTATATGTATATTTGCAGCACTATGAGTTTACATTGTCTTCATGTTTTTTGTAGTTCTAAATTTATAACATATTGTTGACATGCTTTGCACAGACAGTGTATTGTTATGTGTATATTTGCAGCACTATGAGTTCACAATTGAAAGTGTCATGGAGTACAACAAGGACAAGACACTGTCCGAGGCTCTGGCTTGTGCTTATTCTCCAATCCTCCAGGTAGCTATTTTGTTTCATCATCTCCCATTGTAGCACTTCCGTCATCCTTTTGTGATTAATCTTTTGTTTCGCTGTCCCTCTGGCTATGTTTGTTTTTAAATTGCTTTGTTTATGATGTCACTACTGTCTGTTTGGAAAGGGGGGGGGGGGGTGGGGGAGAACAGATTTGGCTTATTTGCAGGCAGACTCTTGGTTTGGTACCTGCCTTTCAGCAAACCGTGCCCTAATTTTTTGACTCTTACAACATGTATGTTAGGGAACCAGTGAGTGGGATCAGTAGTTTCCCATAAATTGTTGTTGTGCAAAGATAATTATATTCTGAGACATTAAATTGATTGATTTTCTTTGTTTCCTCAAGCACCTTGCTTTCTTAGACTTCAGCCGCCTGTCCAAGTTTTCCGCTTCCCGCCGCCAGGAGCTGCTCACCTTGAGCCAGCCTGGTGGTCATCCTAGGATCTGGACCTCGGTGAGCTCAACAGCTCTTTCTGTCATCAGGGAACTGACTGAGCGAGTGAAGGAAGAAAACTGGGCTATCATGTCCAAAGCTCCGGTTAGTATTCAGCGAACAAACACCCAACGAAGCACCACCCATGTTAACTCAGGTAAGAGACGAATATTATTTTTGTTTCTTTCCTAAATCAGAGTTTTTCTAATGGTAGTATTTCAGATGTAGCTGTGTTGCACCTATTTACTGTCAGTTTGATATTTGCACCTTTCAGTTAAAACGTCTATCTTTAGAAATGTATTGACTTATTTCGCTTTCCAGATTTATTTCATACAAAGTTGAATGTGGAAATAATCAATATCATCACACTCGGGACACTCCAGTAAGTGTTTATCCCCATCTTCATCAACAAACAAAGACTTCCAGTTCTGATGGTATCAATAACTGATCGTACATCTGTCTCATCTTCTCCTTGAGTGTCGGCCAGATCGCCTGGTAACTTCCCGCTGCGCTATTTTCCTCAGACCATAATGATCTGTCTGTGCCTCCACGCTGTTTGCTAACTCCCGAAATGCCCTCACAAAATCTAGCTTGTCATACATCAGTTCACCATGAAGTCATGCAGAACTGGCCAGTCTTTCTGTCTGCTAGTTTCCCAACCTAGAGAGAAAATGATTTTATAGGAAATTGTACAACCTCATTTTATCTACACTCAGGTGGTGCCACCTAACAGGCATGTCCTGGATGTGTGTTGGTCGTCAAGGGAGAGCAGACAGAACAGAGGCATTACCTGTCATCTGAGGAGGATTCCATAACTGCAGAGCTGATGAAGTATGCTCTGGCAGAAGGATCCCCCAAGGAGTTGTCATATTCTGCACATGGCTGCTAAACCTCACTTCCTGTGTCGGGTTGCTCTTGTAGAGACAATTAGGACATGGTCGGTAGATTTGGGAATCTGTTTGCACTGTTGTCCAAATCAAACTATTCTTTCTGCAACTTTAACCAGACCACATTAATTGCAACTTCACAAAAATCAGATCAGTAAATTTGCATACTACATGCAGTTTTAAATAATAATTAATGAGGACACATTGTTTTTGCAGGAGACACCAGTACTTTATCTTTCCGAGGACATGAGGAGCAATTGCCAGGTAGAAACTGTGGTCTGTTGGATCGTAATTAGCTGTACTTTTGTTTGTGGCTTTCCTTTGAAGGTTTGATTACAACCGCCTGAGAATCAAGAAATCAACAGTCTGCACACATCTAAGCCAAATCTGTTAATGGATGTACACACAAAATGCGAGTCTTGGAACAAGGCCAAAGTCCATGAGTGGACAAACAACCAGGACTTTCCACAGGAGTTTATCGCTGATGAACGCTATGAAGAAAAAAAAGAACAAGTAGCTTGATGGCTACAAATTTGCATGGGGCGCAGCCATGCTTCTCTGTATCTTGCAATGATCTGCAGTAATGTGTGCTGTATCTTGCAATGATCTGCAGTAATGTGTGCTGTATCTTGCAATGATCTGCAGTAATGTGTGCTGTATCGTCTTTGATGGGAAAATCTCACATCTCTTGTCTTAAAAGGTGTCCCAGAATCAGACGGCAAGGACCATATATTGTCAACTGTTTGGGGGAAGGTAAGGATCTTGTAATATTCATGTTATTTCACACTTTTAGTCATTGTTAAGCTTATCATATCTTTTGTTACGTTAATACAATCAGCAACAATGCACATGTCTGCACAGTCCTCAGTGGCAGCAGCCACTCCAGGATACCTCTGCTCATTGTTTCCCTGAGAATTGAAGATGGTAATCAAATAGTTCACAGAATCTTTGCGGGAGTTGCAGTGATCGTGCTCTGACTTCCATAGTCGCAGCAGATGTTAATAGGGGTAGAAGGGGAGGGGCGCGGGTTAAGAAAGGGAGAGAACAATGAGTTTACAATTAGTGTGCTACAGGAACGGTTAGAATCTTCATACTCAAGCATTTACTGTGGGAGACGGAGTACCTAGGGATTCCTCATTATCCACCAGTTGGTGATTTCATGTTTCTTTGCTTCTTCCTGTATGCATTGGCACGTAACCTACCAGCTGGTCTGTTCCTTCAATACTTGTCGCCGAGTCTGCTCGTTCATTATTAAATCTGTTATTATACGGTGGCTGTCATGTGCTTTTTTAAGAAACAGATATTATCCCCAGTTGCCCAGCACTGGGAAAATTACTTAAACCCACAGTTTTAGCAGACCAATATTTTTTTTAAAAATATCCAAAAAATGTAAAGTTTCCTAGCTTTCTGACAGTCGGAATATTCTGCTTTTAAAAGGATGGTTGGTAATTGTTTGTGGTTGACATCTAGGCTACGATGTCTAGGCCTCGATGCCCAACACATTTGATTTCAGAAGGCCTGTTATTAGCCACTGTTAGGCATTGCAAACGTGCTTCGTGGGGACACCTTAGTTCCAAGCTGATGGTGATTTGGCTGCAGACCATCATGGGTTGGTTTCAAAACTTGTACCAAGAGCTGACTGTTGAGGAAGCAATGGCAAACTACTAAAAGTAAATTTAGAAACCACAGCAGCCACACAAAAATACATGGGTTGGTTCTGCAATGTCCTGTAAAGGATTCGCAGCTAACTTTTAACTTGTTTAAAGTCATCAATTCTTTGTTTTTGCACTAAAGTAGCCCTGGAATCCACATCGGTAAAAGTGGGAGTATAATTTGTTCCCAGTGTTATTTGTTTTTGTTTTGTTTTAAATTGTTATTGTTTGTTTCTCTCGACAGGTGTCTGCCGTTGTCTGCAGCCTGCCGTTAGTTTCCTATCTGGTGGCAGAGGTCCCCGATGCTTCTCCTACAACATTCACGTGTCCTATGTGACTAATGGTCCAGCAGAATTGTGTCCTACAACATTCACGTGTCCTGTGTGACTACTGGTCCAGCAGAATTGTGTCCTACAACATTCACATGTCCTATCTCCTACAACATTCACATGTCCTGTGTGGCCACTGGTCCGGCAGAATTGTGTCCTACAACATTCACGTGTCCTATGTGACCACTGGTCCAGCAGAATTGTGTCATACAACATTCACGTGTCCTATGTGACCACTGGTCCGGCAGAATTGTGTCCTACAACATTCACATGTCCTATGTGACCACTGGTCCGGCAGAATCGTGTCCTACAACATTCACGTGTCCTATGTGACCACTGGTCCGGCAGAATTGTGTCCTACAACATTCACATGTCCTGTGTGACCACTGGTCCACCAGAATTGTGACATACAACATTCACATGTCCTATGTGACCACTGGTCTGGCAGAATTGTGTCCTACAACATTCACATGTCCTATGTGACCACTGGTCCGGCAGAATTGTGACATACAACATTCACATGTCCTATGTGACCACTGGTCTGGCAGAATTGTGTCCTACAACATTCACATGTCCTATGTGACCACTGGTCCGGCAGAATTGTGACATACAACATTCACATGTCCTATGTGACCACTGGTCTGGCAGAATTGTGTCCTACAACATTCACATGTCCTATGTGACCACTGGTCTGGCAGAATTGTGTCCTACAACATTCACGTGTCCTATCTCCTACAACATTCACGTGTCCTGTTTGACCCGTGGTCAAGAAGAATAAATAATGTCCAACATTCACATTTTCCTGTGGGAGCAGATGGTAGGAGTCTTGCATGGTTGTTTATCAAACTGGCACAGAGCCAGCTGGGGGTGTTAGTTTGTCCTGAAAATGAGACACCATTTATAATTTAAAAAAAAATTAAAACCTTACCCTGGCTAAACTTTAGATTTACTTTGTAACCGTTGTCTGAGGCTCTAATATAACCTTATGGTTAAACAGGGTTCATGGCGCTTGCACCTAGGGGATTCTTATCTGAATGGTGGCACTTTATATCAGCGAGAATTAATAACTTGTTGTCCAATCCTAGTGGGGTTAAACATTTATGGCTCACTCATCTGGTGATCATGGTGAGGTTCAGGGTATCGTTTTTAACGTAGAACAAACACTTTAACTTTCCCGCTTGCTTGTGATCACGTCTTCACACCACCATGTTAAATTATAGATCTTAATTATAATTCTTGTTGTATCCTCTTTTTGCCACTAGGCACAACAGTTAACAAATGGTCAGTAGCTGAGCTCGGATGTTTAGTATGCCGTTATGTTTCAGACCGTCTGTGGCTTCTCCAATCCATCTTCTTTTAGGTCTCCCTCTGCCTCTTTGAGTAGATGTTCCACTGCGTAAGAGGCAAGGAACCAAAAGTCTGCATGCAAATGAGTCAGGCCTGTGAAATTGATGTGCACGCAAAACTCAGTTTCTGGAACATGATTGGAGTCCAGAAGTGGACGAACTTTTCGTCAGAGTTTACAGCTTGAGAACGCAAAGAAAAAGAAGAAGAAGAAGAAAGAGATGTGTAAGAGGAAGCTATAGAGTGGAGTTATAAAAAGGGGGAGCTGCATGCAGTAACAAAAGATAAAGCGACTTGGCGTGAGTTGGTTGAGTGCCTATGCTCCACTTGGGGATGCAGGGCAGAAGGCGATTGCATCTGCTATTGTTGTATCACATTTGTACAGTGTGTAATTGTGGTGTTCTACATCTGAGATCAAGAAACTAAGCCAAAACTAGGATAGATATCTGCATTCCAGAGTAGGTAGGGAAGGAGAATTAAATCAAACCTGAAAGTAAGGCCTTGGGTAACAGAGGAAAGATGAAGATATCAGTCGTTTTTGTTATATCTTCCTCAGGTGTGTCCCGCATGGCTGAAAAATCGTACACAGAGGACAAATATGGCATTGTTCAGGCTTTATTGCCTGCAATGTTTGTCGCGTTTCTGGATCTACATGAGGTTAGTCACACAATTGTTGTATATGAAAGTAATCGCAGTTTCAGTATGTTCTGCAAGCATTTCTGATTGTGTCCAGTCTGCCTACAAAGTAGGAGCATAAATTACAAACTGAAGTGCCAAGAACACAGTCATAAATAACAGTGGCTGTTGCAGCAAGAAAGCCCTCATCAGCATATAGACACTGGCATAAGTACTCATGAGCATGAATGACTGATATGATGGGTTTACCAGTGTCATGGTCTTCTATATATGTGGTTAGTTAGGTTATCATTATTGCACTCCAGACATGCTCATAGGTGCTCAGATCCCCCCCTCAGAATGAACCATAGTGTCTGGTGGCTAATGGTACCAGTTTTATGTTGATTAACAAGTTCTCGGATGTGCCTGGCATGCGTTTTGTTTTTTTGCTAATCTTAACTCCCAAGTCTATCATTCTGGTGAGTGATGTGGATTTACTGCCTCCCTAAAGTTCTCCACCCATCGATATATGTGGTGCTAGCTAGTAGTGCCAGAACCGGAGGCTCCCACCCCAACCCTGTATAGTGTATAGGCATAAGTATTCATGCATTTTTTATATAATTATTATCCCCTTGTGGGATCCGGGGTCCTATTTTTGAGAAAATAAGAACAGACCCACTGCCCCGCCAACAAGCATGTTGTAAGAGTCGACTTACTGGGGGTGTCCTTCGAAGTGGGAGTGCATCCACCTGAGATGTGAGGAACCAATAATCTACATACACAAAAGTCTAAAAAAAAAAATGAATGTGTCTTCATTCATAACCAGCTGTAAACTCCAGCAGAAAGTTCTGGTTGTGTAAACCCCAGCAGAAAGTTCTGGTTGTGTAAACCCCAGCAGAAAGTTCTGGTTGTGTAAACCCCAGCAGAAAGTTCTGGTTGTGTTAACCCCAGCAGAAAGTTCTGGTTGTGTTAACCCCAGCAGAAAGTTCTGGTTGTGTAAACCCCAGCAGAAAGTTCTGGTTGTGTTAACCCCAGCAGAAAGTTCTGGTTTAGTCTTTGAGGGCTCCCATTCCCCCTTATTTTTGTTTGTTTATTCTTTTTTTTTTTTGCTGTAGCTTCAAAGGGGCTTTAGCCTTGTTTAATTGTTCATTAATAATACTTATTATTGTGGAAGTAAACAAAGCTTGAGGTCCTTCCACTCAGCCTCCCAAGTGTTCTCTCTGTGACTTGCCCCTGGTGCAAGCCTCATTTTTTTTTTTTCAAAGACCAACCTGCACATGGTGGCTGATGTCAGGCCATAACATTGCCAGAGCCTTGATGATCAGGAAACAGTCATCCTGAGTCTACTGATTGTTAATCTCTGACAGTGGCAGATAAATGCATTAACCACCATTCAGTTATAGGAGACCCAGTGGTGTAGTCACTGTGCATTCACCTCTGGCCGAAAGGTCATGGGTTTGAATTTGCACCGAGTCGATTTTGTTTTGTTTTGAACGTGACCGTGGCTTCAAGGTTGACTCAGCCTAAAATGTGTACCAGGAAAGTGTCCTGGGGAGTAAAGAAACTACTTGATTTTTTTACTATACGATTGTGGCTTTATTATAAGCTTTGTATTTTCCACATTCGCAGGCAATAGAAAAGCATTTCAAACTGAGTTCCAGCGTGTTCAGGAGACCTGGGGGCTCAGCGTGCTCCGATGCTTTGCTGAAATACAAGCTCCACTCTGTGAACAAGGCTGCTGTGTATCGCCTTGTCAACGTCTACAAGCACCATTTAGAGTAAGTGCTCTTGTCAGGGTTGGGTGTAGACCGGTAGAGGTGTTTCTTCAGTGGGTCTTGTTTTCCCGTTAAGGTTCCAGGCTCCCATTATGGGGAGAAAAAAAATAATAGAGCCATTGCGTCCTAACAAGCATGCTGTAAAAATCTATTTAAAAGTATGTTTCCTTTGAAGTCAGAGTGCATCTGCCTGAGAGACAAGGAACCAACAGTCTGCATTTTAACAAAGCCAAATCTGTAAAACAGATATACATGTAAAACTCAATTTCTGGAACAGCACTAAGGTCCAGAAGTGGATGGACATCAAGAACTGTCTGCTGGAGTTTACAGCAGAAGAATGAAGAAGAGGAAGTGTGATTTGATGCTATGAATTCAATTGTAAAAAAGCAGTATGAGCATTCTCCAGGGAAGAAGAATTTCCAAGTTAATAAGTAACGCGGGGGGGGGGGGGGGGGGGGGGGCTCAATTTGTTTTGACTATCTAGATTGTCATAACATCAGATGGGAGATGCCTTGTAGATGTTGTTGTGTTATGTTTTCTTAATGTACATCATTGCACCTTTGACATTCTCATGCATGTTCAGCCCTCTATTGCAGCCGCTACCCCACGTTACCTCTACTGATTCTTCCCATGTGCCCCCGTGTGGGTTCCGGGGTTCTGTTTTGTGTTAGAAGTAAAGCCACTGCCCACCCCCCCTTTCCTAAAAAGCGTGTTGTAAAATTCACCTGACAGGGGTGTATCTGGGTACTTTGCTCTGCAGATAGACCTAATTATTTCTGTGATTTCTCTCTCTTTCCCCAGGGACATCAGGCTGAATAGTGAATACTTCAAGAAACTCCAGCCGTTTGTTGACTACAATATCTGAGATAGGAGGTTGGCCAGGATGGGATTTCCTGTCACATTGCTTTTATTTACTTTGTCGGTTTGTCATTTGTTGAAGAATATTCTTGTTTCCTGAGTATTTCACTGTGCCTTCTGCATTCTAATGTCCGGACAGAATATCACTCTCCCTGCATTTTGATTATCTGTATCTGAATACACTGAATACTTCAAGAAACTCCAGCCATTTGTTGACTACAATATCTGAGATAGGAGGTTGGCCAGGATGGGATTTCCTGTCACATTGCTTTTATTTACTTTGTCGGTTTGTCATTTGTTGAAGAATATTCTTGTTTCCTGAGTATTTCACTGTGCCTTCTGCATTCTAATGTCCGGACAGAATATCACTCTCCCTGCATTTTGATTATCTGTATCTGAATACACTGAATACTTCAAGAAACTCCAGCCATTTGTTGACTACAATATCTGAGATAGGAGGTTGGCCAGGATGGGATTTCCTGTCACATTGCTTTTATTTACTTTGTCGGTTTGTCATTTGTTGAAGAATATTCTTGTTTCCTGAGTATTTCACTGTGCCTTCTGCATTCTAATGTCCGGACAGAATATCACTCTGCCTGCATTTTGATTACCTGCATACCACTGTGAAGTTTCTGGAAATGAAAGAGCTGATAAACTAGCTAAGGAAGGTGCAATTGAAGAACAACCTGAAGTACCAGTCTTTTATCAACAGAAGAAGAGAATAATCAAATCAATTAGAAAGCCACCAAAACTGGCACAAGACGATGAACTTTTTACGGACAGACTAGAGCAAGTTTTTATTCAAAGCCTTAGAACAAGACACAATCGAATTCGCGGCCACATGTACACAAACTTTAAAATCTACGAAATCAGCCATGTGTACACGTGGATTGGCACCTTAGACATGAATAGAATGTTATATGGCAATATAATGACTGGTGCACTTGCCAACCTATACTTCGTATTCTGTTCTACACCCCCCCACCAAACTATTATTCAAATCACATCAAGTTATCCTATCGCATGCAGCTTACCCCATCTTTTTGACTCAACTCTCCCCAGTTCCCTTCATATGTATTTTTCGGCTTGCCTTTATCCCTTTTATAGAGCTGCGGTGGTGGAGCCACAAAAGGTCATGGGTTAAGGTTCACAAGGAACCAGACTGATGTTGACAGCACCACTTACCAAGGGTTGATTGGTCAATAAAGTATAGGTCCAACACTGTGTGCCCAATAAAATTAAAAGCATGAAAAAAGGGTCCTTTGCTTTATTACTTTGATCCTGCAGGTAATCTTCTTCTTCTCCTTCTTTCGTTCGCTTGAAATAAATTATCTATATCTGCAATGTTGCCTCTAGTATGAACTTCACTGTCTTTTGTAATTCACTTAGCGACCAGTAAAGTTTGACTTGCAACGATGTGTCTCTTGGCCAAAAGTTTTGACTTGATATGTTGTATTTGGGACAGTCTTATGTTGATTAAAAGAATTTGTACGTTGATCGTGTGAAAGAAGGAGTCGGTCTAAGTTTGTGTATTGATGTAATATACATTGCGCTTATATATATATATATATGTATGTTTCTTGATCATTGCTCATTTTCATTTTCTTATGTGGTTGAATATTATTTGTTTAGTTCTCAAGTGATTGTATGGCCTCTGTTGTGTTCAATTTATATGTTTCTTGATTTGCATCCATTTGGTTTCTGTGTGAATGTACTGCATTTATTCTTCTCACACTTTTTATGTTGATTAAATACCATGTAATTATTTTACCTGAGGATTTGTCTTTCTTTTTTTCAAGTTTGCGGGATGAGTCCTTCCTGTTTGTTAGTGGTTTTAACCAATCTGACCCTTTGACCTAAGCCGAATATCCAACAAGTTGTCGGTGACCTTTAAATATCAATGTAGCCATTTTAATTCCTTCTTAAGTCCTGTAGTGTTCAGCTCACATTGTTCATTTGGTTTGTTCCCTCTGTGATGCTACCAGAATGTGTACCACCCTGAGGTTTAAATAAGTATCAACCTGGATGGCTGAGTAATGACAGATCCCATATTCCCTGTTAACCTCCGAATAGCGCCCATAACATCTACACCAGCCACGTGTACCGGCAATTCTGTGGGGTTAATGACGGGTTTTAGAGGTCAGTTCAGTTGACCGGTCTACCCTCTCTGGAAGGAGAGGTTGCTACCTAAAGGTTTACCGCACGGAGAATAATATCTAAATCTGGACGGCAGACCAACAGGGTAGATGCCATATACCTTGTTCTACCTCTAGAGGAACTGTAATTAGGGAAGCCCACAAGGGCTACACCAGCCGGGTCTCATTCCTATGTCTGTCATTCCTATGTCTGTCATTCCTATGTCTATCATTCCTATGTCTGTCATTCCTATGTCTGTCATTCCTATATCTGCCATTCCTATATCTGTCATTCCTATGTCTGTCATTCCTATGTCTGTCATTCCTATGTCTATCATTCCTATGTCTGTCATTCCTATATCTGTCATTCCTATGTCTGTCATTCCTATATCTGTCATTCCTATGTCTATCATTCCTATATCTGTCATTCCTATGTCTGTCATCCTATGTCTGTCATTCCTATGTCTGTCAGGGTTTTACCCATCAGTTTGATCAATTAGTCAGATTGTGCTTTCATGGCTGTTACCACAAGGCTTTCCATACCATCTGAAGATTTTTAAAATCTCACTTTGGAAGGCAGACCCACCATACACCCCGTTCACCTCCAAAGAAGTTAAGCTACCAGTAATGACTACCCCAACCAGGTGTACGCAGTCCTGTGCAAGTAAATACTTGGAGGGGTTACCGGTCAGTGTTGTTAGTAATCAGGTAAGTTGTACCCCACCAGGACATCAAACAAATGATAAACACCCAGTGACACAAAGTGCCACCATGTGGATGAGGATCACCTGTGGAGAGGTCCCAAAAACCCCTTGGGCCATATTTATGCCCCGGCTATATTCAGGGCCCCTTACAGAAGACAGGGTGGGGCTTCAAATAACAAAAAATTTGCATCCCATAAGGGGACGAATTGGACAAGTAAAATCAGTGATGTAAGAAGGAAGAAATCCATTGAATGAATAGAAAGAAGCAGGCAGTGCTGATACAGCACAAAACTATCACTTGCCCGTCACAGGCAATCTTTTGTGCAGCACAGGTTTGAGTGAGTATGCCAAGAGGTGGGGAATATTGAAGAACGAGGCCAGCGTGTATGCACTAAGTCAACACGGTTTGTGTCTCTGCTCTAATCAATAGTGGGTCAACAAAGTGTAACATTTTCTACAGCCGCAGGGGCTGTAACCCTGGCAACTCGTCGAAGAGTGTTCGTTGAGTGGTCACCCCTTACAACATTGACTTTGATATAGCCAGAGCCGCGTACTGAATATACAGCTGAAATTGTCTGCTAATATTTTGTTTATCCCGTCTGGTCTGATATCTAAAAGTGTACCATACCTTCCTTAGATGAAAGAATATAAATCCAGATGGCAGACCAACAAGGCATATCCCGGATACTCTGTTCCACCTTCAGAGAAGTTGTTATTAGGACGGCCATCGACTCACCGGCATTAAACGAATGACTATTTGCTGCCGACCAGTGCTTGTTAAAATAAGTGAGGAAGACAAGACTGCAAGATCACATTAAAAGGTTAAACTCAGCATGCAGTAAATACACCACGAAGATCAATGCAAACAAACCCGAAAAAATGCTAGTTTGTAGAACCTCCGAACCCTACACATACAGCTGAACGTATGTAAGTTGTATGTCCACCAGGACATCACACGAGCGAAAAACACCCGATGACACAAAGTGCCACCATGCGGATGAGGATCACCCGTGGAGAGGTCCCGGAAACCCCGTTTGGCCATATTTCAGGCCCGGCTATATTCAGAGCTCCCGGCAAAAGCCAGAGTTGGGTTTCAAAATAGCTAAAAATTGCATCCCACAAGGACATGATGAGGTGCTACTGTTGTGTGGCTGAATGGTTGTGGTCTGAATCAAGTTGGGGAATTTAAAAATCCAAGAAGTCGGATCACAAAAGATGGTAGAAATGATAGAGAAATAGAAACCAGATGTCAGAAAGCAAGTGCACTTATATACCAATTGTCACCATTATTAAGACATTCAAGCATAACTATGAGTGTGGACAAACAGATTATTAATAGCATATTCATTCTAATATTAAGCTACCAGTGCCAAACATGGACACTATCTAAAGCCCATATACGCAAAATCACCACCTGTGAGATGAGGTGCCTGAGAAATGCAGCCAACCTAACCATCCGAGATCGCGTGAATATTATTAATACAATCAGACAAATTAAGGAAACGACACCTTGTACTAGATTCACAGAGAAATAGCAGATTAAGTGGTCTGGCCATCTCGTTAGAATGCAACAAGGTCAAATACCCCCACAGACTACTACAACTCAGAAGATCAGCTACAAGAGCAAGAGGACGGTCGCAAAAAATGGATCGACAACATTAAAGACACTGCGCCCTCACGGCATGACAGTAGCCAGTGGCAGCCAGCGTGCACTGGATCGTAAATTATTCCTCCCCACGACGCCTAACGATAGAAGCGGTTCATGATAATGAAAATGATAACAGTGATACCAGCCAGTTGTAACCTGAAGTCCTATGGGGCGAGGACCTTTCCGTGCGAGAAACACTGGTTTTAAATATCACACCCCTCCTGCGCTCGCATGCCGATCCGAAGAACGTGGGTTCGGGTCCTAACAGAACCAACGCCCTTCTGTAGCTTTACATGTTATAGTCTAAAGATGGACGTGCAGAACCTAACCTCTTTTTTTTAATGACCTGGGCCCTTGGGTTGAGCCAGCCTCAAATGGGTATCAGGTAAAGTCCTGGGAAGTATAAGCGGCCGGCATGCTGTCGACTACATCACCCACAGAGTTCCTATTGGTCCATACAAATTCGGTCTAGCCCAGTACACCCGAAAGCGTGGAAGAGGGTCTTTTTACTTTTGGATAACAAATATTTTTTTTTTAATATTTCGAAATATATATGTTTTTTTTTAATTGGGGAGGGGGGGAATAACGCCTATACATGATTGGGAGGGGGGGGGGGGGGTTAAGACCTCTTGCAAACTGTTTAAGGGGCTATCGCTCAGGGCTCCTAAGAATTATGTGGGAGGGGCCTTATCTCCCCACCCCGTCCCCTAATAATTGTGGATAGCTGAACGTACCTGAGTCCCAAATTTCCGACCTCTATGCATGCTATTTGTTTGTGTATAAAACAGAACACGTATATATATTTTGTCATGTAATCACAACACTCTACAGTTTATTGTAACATTGCACAACGTCATTAAAAATCGCAGCAATTGATAGTGAGAGAGAATACTTTCATCCCGACAAAGCAAAAACCACGCCCTTCTGGAGATGGTCCTGGCAAAAACAGATTAAGAGTTTCCCTCGAAGTCGGAGTACATCTGCCCGCGAGGCAGGGAACAGCAAAACTCAGGTCCAGGTAAAAGCCAAAAGTGCAAGCCGACGATTAACCGGTACCTTCCGTCGGAATTCACAGCCGGTAAACGAAGAAGAAGAAGATTAAGAGTGCATACTTTCGGTTGGAAATCGCCACATATGAAGCCGCATCGTCGCCCCAAGCAAGTTTGCACGGCACTTGGTGATAATGAATCATGTATTGTTTGGACTGAATTTACTTTCTCACAGAATGGGGTTATATAACCGCTTCGTAGTAGTTTGTCGTCTGCAAAGCTAATGGTATTAGTATTTTGAAATCAGACCATAGGCCAAATGTTAGTTAGTTAGTGGACAGATTATCATCATTGCACATCGAACCAGTCAGTCCATAAGTGTTCAGATCCCCTCTTCAGTATCTCTCACAGCGTGTAGTGGCTTATGACGCCAGTTCTTTGTTGGTTTATTCTTCTTCTTTGGGCCCCTGTGTAGCGCTCTTGTCTGGCTTCACCATTTTGATGTTATGTTCGTGTATTCTCGTCAGTGTTGTAGATTCACAATCATTACTAGATTCGTTTAATCGAGCCGCATCTCTGATGGCCTTCAGTAATTCTGCCCTATCCATTACTCGTCCCTTTCCCAGGTGAGCATCACCTGCAAGACTGTTAGTTTGTACATTGCCCTTTACACCAGAATCCTTCGAAACTTCTGATCAAATATGGCCAGATGTTTTGCCTTTGCCTGTAGTTGTCGGCGGCCCTGCTCTGACCGACTATGCTTACCCTCCGGGTTCCACCTAAAAGTGACACCCCGATTGCCCCTCCAATGTGGCAAATCCCAGTAAGCTGTAACTGGGGCACCTTTAACGGCCCCACTTTCCCAGTCTGGTAATTGGCTAACAAGTAAATCGCTGTTTAACTTTCATAGCAAACGGTCACTCCCATAGATGCTCAGTTCCTGTACCAACGAAAATCATCGGCGACAGTGTCCTCCATTGGTTGGGGAGTAGACGACTTCGTCGTCGGTCAGGACAGTATTTGGGTCTGTATTCTTTGATCACATCGGCACTGCAAGAATACCTTTCATGGCAACTTGGTGGCGAGCAATGACAAGCTTTTGAATATGGCGAAAAAACTAAGTCACAATTATAACCAAAAGCTCCCCCTTCAGGAATGCTGATTGAAAGTGACAATTTTTTGTTACGGAAAACAAGGAAGAAAATAACAACGAAAACCAATTTATCCACACTGCAGTCTCGACGAATCAAATAGCACACGTTTTCAATGCACAAGGCAGACTTCCCTTGTGTAACCCACAGTCCTGTGTGGGACAGGAAGGAAATGTGTCCGACTCCTGTGGTTGACATGTGTAAATCATTTATTACACCCGAAATCAATATGCGTCATGTTAAAGTCTTTGATGAACATAAAGATATAGACTTTGGTCGAAACGTTCGGTTCCATATGTGTGCCTCTTTTCAATTCCCTCCTTCAAGCTTTCTAGTCGCATTGTATGTTGTATTTAGCGCTTCTTGCGTTGTGATATATATGGTTATTTTATGTTATGATAGTCAGCACATGTTGCTTGAGCTTTGTGAACTTGCTTCGTAATTCCGAAATACCCGGTTTGATTCCAGCTAAGGGCGATATAGCAGCCGACAGTCGACTTGATTTCACCAGGAGTGTCGAGAACCGACCGCGCAGAGGGAATGGCAGACTACGGAAGGTAATGTTTCCAAGTAACAGAAAACATATGCTGGGGTAGGTTCTGAAACATTCTGTACAGATAGACCAAATGTTATCTTTGTTAATTTTTGTTCAACGTTTGACGTCCCACTTGTCATTCCTATTCGTGTTCAATTCTCCAGGTCAATTGCCGTTCCAGTTCGTCTCTTTTGGCTATTCCCATTCCAAACTGGTTGCGTTAAATATTTTCGAATCCCGGAAAGGCTAACCTGGCAACAAGTGCATGAAGATGTCTGATGTATGCTAAACGGCGTAAATATCGCAGCCATACTGTAAACATGTCTAGTGCAGTTGTGTAATCTGATGATCTCAGCAGCAGAAGAAGAAGAAGAAGTCGAAAAAGAAGAAATACTGACTTCGAAAGACGTACTTTG